ATGGCACATTATTTACTATGGTTAATACATTTTGTTCCAATACAAAGCCTAAAGATTTTTCAACCAAAGACGCACTAGAATTTTTGGAATAGTACTCAAATAAATCATGAAAGCCCTCTACAGTATCGAGGATTTTTTCTGGCGTAATGATTGCTTTATGTAGTTATACAATTTTTTGGTTCAGTATATTTGTAAAATTTTATACCAATAAAATATGTGTATTGCTATTTGTAACAATAGATTTGGAGCAAATTTCACTCCTAGGGTTCCAAATAGTTAGTAGTGGTACAGTAAGAGTACTTGCTTAGTTTTTAGTTTCAGTTGCCGCAGTCTGAAATTTAAGTCTATCATGGTCACATTGTCTTTGACAAGCTATATCTTATTAGAATAAACAATTTGTAGTTCATTGTAATAGTTACGCATACTTCATTAAAGTGGCTCCCTGAATTATAATTAAACGAGGCGGATCATCGTAGTCTATTGGACTATGAAATGCTCATAAAATATGCTAATGAGAATTGATATTGTCACGAGGGAGTTGCGGGCGGTAACTGTTTTAGGATAGGAAACTCTATTGTGTTTTGTGTACGTATAGAACGTGAATCCGTCCGCGTGGAATAAAAAAAAGTAAGTAGACTACGTGTTCTTCCAGACTATGTTCTACATGTATGCCAAATTTCATCCAGAACCGTTCAGCCGTTTAGGCTACAAACTCTAACAAACATCCATCCATCCATCTAAACTTTCGCATTTATGATATTAGTATGATTGGTGAACTGGGTGTAATTAAATATATCTTCTTCCCGTCTTATCCAATAATAGCAGGATCCACGTGCCAGGTTTTCTTTCTTCACGCTGATCTGTCTTCCGTCATCGTTGTCATTTCTTCTGTCCAACATAAAAATACGTACTTTGACAAAACGACAAGAGTCGTTACATGACTTGAATAACTCTAAATGCATATTATGTTAGTTACCTATAGCAGTACCATAAATTGTAGTGTAAAGTAATTGGTAAACGCATCAGCCATTAACTACAACGTAAATCACTTATCCTGTAAGTAATAGGAATCCTATGTGAAATAATTAGAATCGACACGATAGTGTAAATCAAATCAACATTGGTGTACAATGCTGTTTTGGGTTGATGATACCAGGAGTTAATTGCTATGCACCAAGCAATGAAGCGTTTCCACCAGACTACTACTACATTGCCTCATGTACTAAGACTATTTTGAAACTCATTACAAAGCTATAACCTTCTAGGAAAAGCTTGGAATTACAAAAAATCGCAAATTTCAAAGCCATGAACTGCCTTTATTTTAATTAAGTACAGGGCCATTAATTAACGACCTCGGCCGTCCTTTATTTGTCGCACAAAGGCTGCCGGAGTCGCCGCTAATGTTTTAGGTGCCGGATGAAGTAAAGTGTAAAATTTACCCATGTTAATGTCATCTTTTTTGGCTTGAAATTTTTGAAAAAATCGGATGTTTTTTCTAACGAAAATCATTTTTTCATCGTGTTTGCTAACACAGTAGAACTGGCTAGTTCATTTTTATTTTAAAAGCGTGATATTGCATTAAAGTTGCGGGGATATTTGCAAAAATACTTAAATAAGCTTACCCACTGCAATATCACAAAAGGTTTTCGCTCACGGCGCACATTTATTTCGACCCCGAATTGTAGTAATGAAACTTTTTATTATCAAAATGTGTAATTGCGAACGAAATGTATTGTACGAAACGAATGTCGAAAACATTTGTTTGTACATTTTATTTCTAGCAATTACAAATGAAAATTAACTGGCAGAGCAGTCAGTATCAGATAATCGGTGTTTCGATTTCAAAGGAGTTACTGTTTTCGAAGTTATTGTGGAAAAAAAAATTATGACATTATGACTTAAAATATAGCCTAGGTTCCACAGCCTAAGTGAAAATTCACAAAGGCTTCTTACATTATATGTCCCTAAGAAGCTAAGTTTAGTTATTCGTGTGGAAGGGTACACCGGTAGAGGTAGACCTAGAAAGACAGTTCTTTCTTCTGTATCCATCGATGGATTGGGTGAAAGGTGATATGATCGAGAAGGGAGTGATTGAGATGACGTATGATAGAGTTATCTGGAGGACAAAAACATATTGCGCCAACCCTATGGGAGAAGGATAAGGAAGAAGATAATGATGATGTCTCTAAGAGGCTTAGAAATTAATAGTGATGTTTTCTGACAGGTGCTCAGGATTTTGTAATTTCATAAAATAGCGTCGATTTTATAAGAGTGGTATAACATATAATATGTAACGTTTAGTTTGTTAGCACTATGTTGGAGTTGCTGATTAAGTTTCTAATTAGTTTGCGTCGGAATGGACTGCCTTATGAATTTTGCATTAGGTTTGCTCAGCCTGCCCACTATCTTCTAACGTTACTCGTTTAATTACTTTATACATCTGTGTTAATATAGGTTTTCCTTTAATTTTCTATTGTTAAAATGGTTAAAACTTGTTGATTGTACTAAATTGAAAATACAAAATTAAAACATCAGCGCATATTCATGGGTGTTTTTTATTTCCCTCTTAGATGTTTTTAAACTTTTTTTTACACAGAATTAATTAAAAAGAACTGTACAAGGTAAGGTAAGCTGTGTATCTAGATGCATACTATAACCAAGAATAATATGTAGTGAAGTAAACGATCAATCGAATTATCCGTGTGCCTCGTACGAACGCCGTGGTATATTAAATCTGCACCGCCGGCCCTGAGCATCGACTAGGACTGTCACTTCTTCGGGTTTGATGCTTCTTTTTATAGTGTATATTCAGTGTACGAGCTTCACATAATATCTTTAGAGTCATTAAAATGAAATAAGTCACTGGGCTATTGTTCGATCATGGAAATTGTTTTTGACTCAAGGTTAGGGGTGGCAAGTGTTGTTTTTTTCGTAGTCAAACTTCGAGTTTATTAAGTATTGGCAGCCCTAGCCTCGACACCGCTGCACGTACTCTGACAAATTATATTTATGAAATGGAGCGCGTATTTTTAAATTGATTGTTTTCGGACAACTCTGATATAGTGGTTATAGAATTTTTATAGGAGACTAGACAAAACCTGCATGTCGTATTTTTTTACAGCACTTACATTCTCTAACGTCCAAATTTCTCGTAAAGAAAACGTAGTTACGTACAGTTTATTATAAATTCTGATCAACACTTATTTATGTTTCTCATAACAAAACGTTTTATCTGGAAACTTCTTCAGGTTTATTGTAACAAAGTTTGACAACAGAAAGCGAATATCTGTTTCTACAGCTATAGCCTATATTCCAGTTTAACAATAACTGAACGAGATAAACCGCTTGTTCTGTCCGCTTGCCTGTTGGTTAATACTTTTATAGGCCAGTGAAGTATTGAATAATGCAATTAAATAACAAATGGTATCTAAAACATTAACTTAGTGTAAACCCGTACTAAATCTGTGCTAAGGGACTTCATTAATGACCACTTAGTGGGACTGTGTTCTACAGATCGATATTTAATTTAAACAGAAACACTAGAAACACCTCTAGTTCTATGGAGGAAATTTAATTGCTGTGGAATTATTAATCTTCCCCTAACAATCGAAGCAATTACAAGCTGACAGTGACGTTAACGAGCGTGTAAGATGCGGTGACGGTAATTTAAATTAATCGACGATTATTATTGGAGATGTTTTTACAATGTGTTTCCACTATTAAAACACTTGTATAAAACATTCTCTCATCTCTTTCATTCTCTTCCAGAAAACAGAGATAGATATTAATATCGAACTTTGTGGAAACCCACTGCACTGTTGAGCAATTGAGGATCAATAATCTCAGATCAACGCATTAATTGCACTAATCTGCTCGTTTACCATACGTCATTCTGCATTAGAGTTATATTTACGTAGATGGAATATCTCAGATCAGATTTGCATACACGGTATCATCGATTCGCCGAATTGCTTTAATCTTGGCTACCCATCATTAAGACAGGAGTATCAACTCAAAATATGACATGTAAATAATGCTTAGATAAGAAAAATGTGAGGTTAATTTTAATACCCAACTTTAATATTAAATTATTTTTTTTTTATAATATAAGGTTGCAAACGAGCAAGCGGCCACCTGAATCCACCGAAATAGAAAGCGACCGCTGCCCATAAACATCCGCAATTGCAGATGCGTTGCCTACCCTTCATTGACGGAGGAGGAGACGCACAAAAGAGGACATTTCCCCTTCCTATGTGTCTCCTCCACCGTCAAATCCACTTTTCCTTTCCATCCTTCCCTCTTAAGAAAAAGGTGGAAAGGGACTAAAATTAATGCAAGTTGGCAATTAAACTGATATGTAAAAGTTTTAATTAACTGATTTGGATCTACGTGTTGTTTAATATCAATAAGCAAATGTAATACTGACCCGTTTTCCACGTTACTAAGTCCTGGCACAAGCCTGCGCCGTCACTACCGACCTGATGTGCTCTAAATTGCTTTGATCGTTTTTCCGGAAGGTTAATGAATTCTCTCGCTCCAATAATCCAAACAGCCGCCGAGTAAATACGTTCTAACTTTTATACCATGCCACTAGATTGTTCAATAAAATTATAATTAGTTATAAAATCTTAAATATTTTAAAGATAGCTCTGTGGATTACAAGTTGACTGTTGTATTTAAGAGTAGAAAACCTCCATCGATTATTTAAAAAACATCTATTTTTTTATGACGCCTTTATGCCGCCCTTTCGTCACCATGCATTTTTAATCAGACACCTGGATTGCGGGTGTAGAATTATTTCCTAAGTATAAGTAAAAGTTTAAACTTAAATTTGGATTAAAAAAAATATCTAGTTACTTAACGTATTTCCTTTGTTGTTCAATTTATAACTCATCCTTTTAAGATAAAATCCTGAACAGTTTAATGCACGTTGATCAAAGGCAACTGACTTGGTATTCAATTCCAAGTGTATAACTTGGTAATATTATTACAGATATCTGGTTCTTCAACATGGATAAGTCTGCGAATAGCACGGGCCACAGCCGATAGTACCTGAGCAGGAGTTGCCACTACCCATTTACGCGAATTCCGCCCCTCCGCTATCACCGAGTTACAAGATGGTGCGCGAGAAGAAATCGCCCCACAAAACAGACTCACAGAAATGTAAGTAACTATTCTATTTTCTTTGTAACAAAAAATTGTTTGCAAAACAAATTATTTGTATAGTATCCTAGCGAAGGCTGGGGATTTTATTCTCAATATTCCGCAGAGGTTTAGTGAAATAGATTGCCACTGAGCTAATATCGTAAGAAAAGAGAACAAATTGTGCGATACACGGCACCTACGTTAAATTTTGCTGGGGAAAATATATATTTATACAAGATTTTTTTGTACAGCGTCTTGTATTAAATATATCAGAAAAAGGTAAAGAAATAAAAAAAAACTTCTTTCTTTCTCCGTTTCTTATACTAGTTTTCATATAATGTGCTGTTTGTGAAGAGAATACTTCTTTGTTTCGACAGGATCTACAGTTAACTTTGTATAAGTTAGAATGTAACTATCAGGTAGAGTCCTACGAGTCCTTAAGAACCTTTAAAATATTTAATAAAATTATATTAGTTCACATTATTTTCTAATAAGTATAAAACAAGTAAACATGTCCAAAGTACAAGGTCTCTATAGTTTGTTTACCAAATCTGTTGAGTAAACGAAATAAAATTGCTTTCTAATAAGGGTTTGGCAGTCCGTAGTAGACATAAATTTACAATATTCCCAAACAAAGCTTATTTTAAGATCAGTTAAATTACAACTTAAGCTTGTAGCCTTTATTGTTTCAATAGGTGTTATTGTCATCAATATTTCCCTTTTTTTTATAATAGAAAACAACAACAACAACAAGCAACAACAGAAAATCCTCTCCTTATCTCTGTATGGTCTGCGAACCAGGTTTTCATCTTCCAGATACATCTATCTTCTATTCCGTCCTCTCTTACTTCTTAATCTCTTCATGTAATCCCTTCATTTCTTATTAAGCTTCACCATACTTGTGTATGTACAATTTCTCATTCATGTTTAAAGTTTTTATATGCAATTTTCCCACCTCATAAAATGGTCTCGCTATATGAATCGATATTAAAAGAAAAAAAAACTTTAAATGCAATGTAAAATGTTGTATAATGCATAGTACTGATACTATGCATTATACAACATTTTACATTGCATTTTTAGTTTTTTTCTCTACTGATAGAGTAAACTACCCAGAGGTTTAAAGAGTTTTCATTTGCTAGAGAGTAGGAAATTAAAAATAAATTGAACTCCATATATCGAGGTCCCTACCGACTTCATCTCCCAATGCGATTCCATTTTACAGATCTAAAATGCAAAGGTTAAGGAGAAATATTGAATGAACATTCGAACTGCATTCTTTACGGAAATAAGTAGGCTTTTATTTGATTTATTTTAAACGTTGAAATTACGAGACAGATAAACCAAGTTAATTCAAGAAATTATTTCCTAGAGACTAATAGCTATAGACTTATGTAATTTCATTGGTAATTTCTCATAACTTATGTTAGAGGATTAACGCTTTATAATAAATCAATAAAAACATAACAATCACACCTACTATCTTCTATCTATACATATAATAAAATTGGAGTGTCTCTTTGTAATGACAAAAAAAGTCCAGATTTCGGAAACTAATTTAAGTTTTAAAATGTAAATAAACATCATAGCTCGTGTCAAACAAGTTGAGTAATCTGTTTCTGTCATAACAATACCATGGCAGGAAGTACATGTTAGACGTGTATCTTAAGTTGAGAAAAGCTATATGAATTTAAGTTTTGAATAAAGTTATTCAAACAATTGCTATGGCATTGATCGGCAAGTATGTATTTTTATACCTCGTTTTAATGTAAAAATGATAATGCCTTAATTCACAAATAACCATTACCCGCGCTGGCAATTTCCGTAAGACTCCGTTTCCATCAAACGTGCTTTATTGAGGCTATTAAAATAAAGGAAAGGTTGATAAACAGTACGTATTTTATTTTACTGGGTAATAAAGCGATCCCAGGTGTACGGTATTGTGTCAGTTTATTGCTTTACGTTAACTTATCAAGATGTTTTGAATTTTTTACTACTCTGAGCGCTGTCCTATTACCTACGAATAGATTTATATATCAGATTTCTACATCAAGTAGTTAATAACAAGGGCTTCTTTTTATTAAAAAAATGATTTTATGTTGTCAATAACAGCACTTTTCGCAAATTTATTTGGGTTAAATCTATATCTATACTATTATAATAAAGCGTAAACACACACTTCTTTGTTTTGTTGTCTAAGATGTCAGCAATTACAGCATATTTTTGAATAATTCCTTTTTTAATAAAAAGCCCTACACTTACGTCACGATTTAGGCTGTATATATTCAAGTTATTAAACTTAGGCTCAAATATTTTGGATAAAACACTAATGTGGGAAAGAGACCATAAGTTGCTGCCAACATCAAGGAAAGAAGATTGCCAAGGATTTGCTTTTGCTAATTTGACAAATGTAAGCAATGTAATAAAAGTTCCATGTGGATGAAGCCGCACGTGAACAGCTAGTAGTGAGATAAATTTGAAAGCAATATCATTTAATTGAGGTAGAAACATTTTAGGTTGTTGTATGTTCCTTTATGAGGCACAACTTTAGTAGCGAAATTTCCACGACCCTTTCATTGTAAATCAAGTGGAATTAATTCAGAGATGTCAATCGATTTATCGAGACATTTGCTCCTAATTCAACCAATCATTTGATGGAAAATTCGTAGAAATGTGTAAGAAAAAATGTTTGAGAGTAATTCCTTAATAATTTAGAAAATTTAAATGAAGTCCTAATGGATTTAAATACGCTAGAGTTAAATTAGTTTTAAATTACTGGGCGTCGCAACGGCAACTGTCATTTTAATTCTAGCTGCGGTTAGGGAGATAGATTAGAAAATAACCTCGCGTAATGTTTTTTATTTATTTAAAGTTGCCAGTAGCAGTTATCTTAATGCTACATTTTAAATGTTTTTTATATATTGTTTTAATTGAGTATAAACGTATATAGTTGTTAATTATAGTTTTTGTTACAAAAAAATTTAAGATAACTGTTGGCGATGCAATAAACCTTTTTGTGTTTTTATTCTTAATCCTTTTTTAAAATAAGAATAAATATTTTTTTATTAATTCTTTTGTAAATAATTGAAGTAGTCTTCGATAAGATGTCACAACGCTAGGCTGAATTGTACATAACATATGTATCTTAATTTGTAAATTTTTTTGTTAAAAGTTTTTTTAGTTTTGGTTTACTTCTTATTTATTTTACTCGCACATACGTTTCCGTACAAGATCGTGTCTTTCAATAACTATTTACTTTAGGTATGTATGAAGTATTGTGTTTAAGTTTAGTACATAGCTCGCTTATTTTCTTCTCTAAGTTGTAGTCAAACTTTGTGATCGCTAGCTTATGCAAGTTTACCCGTTTCAATCACTTGATCTTTGGATACACTCTAACTGTATTAAGTCGGATATAAGTTACGCTACGCTGTACTTTACTACGCCTTTACTTAAATCTTAGTTGCGTGCATTACTGGACAATATGTATGAAAATTTTTAAAAACGTCACTCCACAAAACATTAAAAGATGATTATGTCTATAAGCCATAAATGATATCGATTGTTATAATATCTATATTTTGAGGTACTTTTATTATTTTTATATTATAAGGTAGCTCAAAGTATATCGTATTTTTATATTTACATTTAAAATATTTATTTCAATCTGTGTTAAAGATCTTTTGCTATTAAATTTTGTAAGGGTTATTATCGACGCCTTGTTATTAAGTCTATATAAAGCAACAATTATTACATTGATTTATGTTAACAATCCCTCAAATTATAATTCCTTACCTGTAAATAAAGATGAGTTAAATTAGCAAGTTTCCGTAGAAGAAATGATGTTTACCTTCGCATGTTGCTAAGGTTATCGGACTATAAATGCGGGTTTTCCTTTTAAAGTCGACATCCTTTGTGTTGTTGCAATAACAATAACGAAACTAGTTTTACACATTAAGAATGTACTAAAAACAAACATAGAAATGTTGTTTGAATGATATAAGTCTAGAGCAAAGAGTTACAAGAATTTTGGAGTAAGAATAACTATTATATGAAAAACATAGTAACTGTTTAAAGTTTATAGTTTAATATGAAAATTTAATAAACAAGGCTTTATGTTACTATTCGGTGGGAGTTGTAACTATCATTGTGTGTGTATAATTTGCAATTCCAGTGAGCTTTACGTGGTCCGAATTGGCACCGTACGTTGTAAATTGGCAACCGTAATTGTTTCCCATCAAGAACAGATAATGTCTGAAACGGTAATTTCCAAACGAAATCGTTTAAAAAAAAAAACAAAATTATGATGGTAATGAGTGCTAGATAGGTGAAGTAAAAGATAGATAAGGATCACATTGAAAGATTTTGTAATACATAAGTTAATACACAGTCTCAGGCGTGTCAATTGAAAACATACTGTAATAAAAAATTGTCACTAATGAAGCGGAAAACATATCTATTTAATTAATTCATAAAAACAGGTAAAGGAGATCAAATATTTCGAACCTTTGAATAACAAATATCAAATTAATGTAATAATATTATTGTATAACATTTTCCACAATTGCAGATTTTCCTTCTTTAAATATTAACAATTCCTAACAATCACAATATGTAATTTAATAAAACGATTTTTCTAGTCTACGTTAAACGCTGTTCAATTGTTCGTAAAAAGCTCTCGCCGCTTTTAAAGCGTCTATAACGAACTTATCTTCACAGGGGTTATCGTCAAAGAAAAATGCTCCGCATTTTAACTTCTCCGAGCAATATGGATTTATCACTTTTTCATTGCAACAGGATAAAATTGCACTAGCGCAAGGGGTAATAGTTTTCGGTGGGTTTACGTATTCCCCATTCCGCGTACTAAGTATGTATGTTAGTTCTTCAACTGTGAATTTTATTTGAGATTGAACGTCACTATTTAGTTTTTCTTGTCTGATTTCTCGACAGCCAGTTTTCGTGAATACATTAATGATTAGAAAAATTGTCAGTATCTTGGTCAGCATCTGTAAATATAAAGTTTCGATTGTTTTATATTTTTCAAATACTTTAATTTGTATATAAGAGTTATTTATCCTTTTTGAGGAACTAATTTGAAGGTTTCTTTTATTTTATTGATAAGAGAAATACAAAAGAGATTTTCATATAATACAATAAATATGTATTTATTTATAACCTATATCATCGATTTTATTTTTGACTAAAACTTATAATTAGAATTAAAAAAAAGTATTCTCAGATATTTTAATTTATACGGATGTTATATAAATCTATTAGTATTTTTACTTTGTAAACTAGTTTCCACATCTATTTGGTGTATTTCAAAAGAGATATTAATAAGCAAAGATTAAATCAGAATGACCCATATTTAGCTAATGTTATAACTACACGTTGAATAAAATAAACAACAGACATAAAAACAATATTATCTGGTATGAATACTGCATAAAAACTTGTATACCAATTAGTTTCAAGTTATGTTTATCATTGAGGAAAAAAGGACCATACATAAACAAAACACAACTACAATACAACTTAAAAACAAAAGTTATAGTACGGAAATACCAAATATATAACTTACTTTTAATGATATGATCCGTCACTGCACTAATAACTTAGAAATCAACTAACATGTAAAACATATGGTAAAAAATATTTAATTTTAATTCAGAAACGTGTGTTCATGCGTTTAACTGGTGTTCAACTGTGTGTAAATTTACATGCAGAGCCTTTATTCAATGTCTTTGCTACGTTTTCTCAGAAATCGACTCAGTTTCTTACTATATGTCGGTATTGTAAAGAACCAACTCTTTGAGGAAATGTGACCGTTCAACTAGAATCTTGTTTTGAAAATTGGACAATTTATTCTATTCTATTATATCATAGAACAACTGATCCCGATGATATTTGATATTTGTAGAACATAGTCTTGAGAACATAGTCTACTGTCTTTTTTAACATAAATAGACCAGCGCTTGACCACGATTCCGCCTGAGCTAAAGACGCGGGCGAAGAATAGATATCTTACTTTTAATACCTCGCAAATGGATGCGCGGGCAAAAGAGTGTTTATAAATGTTACATTAGCTTGTACTTTGAAACGAAACCGATGAAACTATTACGTTTTAACAGTGAAATATTCTAATCAAATTAACTTTATAGTAATCGACAAGTAATTACAAAAAAGAAGTATTTTCTTCATATAAACACAGTGGCGCGTTCAATGCAAACTTATCTTACGTTAGTTAAAGAACTAAAACATAGAATACAATTGCATCTGACCAAATGAATACTTCTTTAGTTAACGCCTACACTCGGCTTCTCTAATCGGCTCTAAAATCGGCCACATACACCCACAAACACCATTTTCATGATTTTCTAGAAATACTACTACTAATATAACTACTACTACACGTAAATTCTAAACAACTGCGCATCAGTTATGTTTACTGACCACAAATCACGCTTACGTGATATTCACGATCAAAGTTTTTATAAGAATTTTAAAAGTAATAAAAACCTGGAAATTATTTTACGTCATTGTGGTTTAATTAATTATCATTATTGATTTTACATTAGAATTGATTACTGGAATAAATAAAGGCCTTTGTTCCTTTACCCTTCATACACGTTACAAAAATTATTATAATTATTATAATATCATTGGTCACAAGATTGTAATTAGAACATGAAATATGAACGGGCGATAAACTCCTTTTATATAATCACATCGTAAACCTATATCTGTACTAATATTAAAAAGAGGAAAGATTTGTATTCTTGTATGCATTGAAATAACTCAAAAACTACTGGGCATCTTCCACTGTTAGAAAGTTAGGAAAGATAGGTTATGTTTTTTTATCATTTTTTAATTTCACGCGGACGAAGTCATGAGCAATAGCTGGTGTCTAATATTATTGTTTGTATAATACATTACCATTTACTATAGAAGACGCAAAGAAGTTCTTTGTATAATATCGGAGTGCTATAGGAATCTTATATAAAAAAGTGTGATCGAACAAATATGTTTATATCATCATTTACATCCGGCTGGTAATCATATTGGAATAATATATACTAATTACAAAGAAAAGAGATTTGTATTTTTGTATGTACGTAACTCAAAAACTACGGGGCCGATTTCAAATATTCTTTCACCATTAAAAAGCTATCGTTAAGTAATATAAGCATTATTTTTTTAATAATTTATAATTCCGAGCCGACGAAGTCGCGAGCAACAGCTAGTTTGATATAAAGAAAATAGTATAAAAGTGCCATATAATTATACTTTCAGATTTAATGTGCCGAGAAGTGAAATAAGATGATCCCTACCTCTCCTTACTTTTTACGTGTCTTCACATTTTACGTGTGCACGGTTTTAAAAAATATGTTTTTTTAAATAGTTATCTAGACACCAAACAATTAACTTATAAATATTTAATAGTAAAGATTCTTTGTTGAATAATTATTATTTATAGGATCAATATCGCTCCAAAGCCAGGAAAAGGAGCCAACTCCTAAACTAGGAAATCCTGTGCTTAAGAAGCCAACCTTACATCAAGAGTTACGATTATATTATATGATTAATTTGCTTGTAATAACCCATCTAGCAATTTTATTACATCTACGTTCACCATCTTACATTAATAAGTTATTACTAACCATAACGCTCGGTGGCCATTAATCTTCCATTTAAGTAGAGATGCGGTTATGATGCACTAGAGTTCTAATGCAGGGATTTCCGACTGCACTATACAAGGAAACAATAACTTAGCAAAATATAATTCATATAGTTATGCTAGATTCACACGAGGGCAACAAAGTACAAACAGTATTAAACTCCACTACTGATTGTTAAACCGACAATACAAAGGCTAGTTCTATTTTGTAGCAGAGACCTGCTCTGCCCGAAAGCGCACACCTTTGACTTACCTATCGTTTTGTTTAGTCGCGCTTTGATTCCTAGTTGTGCAACTAAACAGTTGAATTGGCTGCGAAACAATAGACAATCGCATAACAGTTCTGCGATAGTTTAGTCAAAGATGTGCGCCCGCTCTAACTATTCTGCCCTTGTGTGAAACTAGCATTTGTAAAGAACTGCATTGCTTATGCAACATTGCATTTAATATCCTAACGTTTCAAAATTATATTGTACCAGCAAATAGCCTCGGGCTACCATTGAGTGACGTCTTTTTGTTAGAGACTAGCTTTCACCCGCGACTCCGTCTGCGTGGAATTGAAGAAAAAAAACAAAAGTGAATAGCCTATGTGTTCTTCCAGACTACCGGAAAGCGGTTGAGTCGTTTAGGCTACAAACTCTAACAAACATCCATCTATCCATCCATCTAAACTTTCGCGTTTATAATATTAGTAAGATTTTTCTTAATTTTTTTAAAATAATCCACTTTTTGTAATATCCTATTATTTGCTTTTGAACTTTGATCAGACTTATTGCAGATTTTTTTCGGAATCCAACCTTTACCAGGCTTTATTGTTGAAACTAAGTAAGAAATATAAACCTTGAACCTCTCTTGATATTAGCCATCAGTATGAACCGAAATCTTGATATGTTAATATAGCTAACTACTAAGCAGATAAATTATTGAATTTTAAAGTTGTTTGGAAATTCCCAATCGAGCAAATTGTATTTTATTATATTAACTCGTTAAAGTTGTACAAGAAATAAATATGTTAACAAAACCTTCATCAAAAAGGCAACATTTAAAAGAAACTAATGCGGTTTATAATTATAGTACATTGCGATATCTTACGAAAATCTAAACCGATATAAGTGGACATTGTATCCATTAACACGATCAGGGTTTTTCAAGTTCGTGAGCAGTTATTGATCTCGTCAGTGATAAGTCGTGACCATTTTTTAACAACATAAAAAAGCAATACTATCTGTAGCAATACAAACTGTACTTCAGTACTATATCTATAGTAATATTATAAAGCGTAAACACACAATACTTTGTGGCGTAAGATGCCAGCAATCACAGCATATTTTTGAGTAATTCAGTGTTGAAAAAACCCTACACTTACGACTTTAGGCTATATATTTTCAAGCTATTAAAAGGGGTAAATTAATTGAAAAAACCTTCACATGAAAGAGCTCGTAAAGTACAAGCTGCCAACATTAAAGAAGCAAGGTTATTATGGTAACGGAAATTTTGATATTTGCAATTGAGAATTTGACAAATGTAAACAATAAAGTAAAGTTTTCATAATTTCATGACGACGCACAGGAACAGCTAGAATAAGATAAACAGCAGGACGTGACATGTGACGTGATGTTCTTTGGCCTAACATCATGTTTATGTAATAAAATAATCATTATGGTACTTGCCATGATAATATGGTAACTAATAACCTATTGATATCATGGTAAGTAACCTAATCTTCAAGTTTAAAAACAAAGAGTTCCAAAAATAATACTTCCGATTGTTTTATACACTTTTGTTTGAATTATCCACTATTTACATTTTTATAAATTTAAAACAGTTAATAATAATTTATTGCGAGGATGTATAAATGCACAAAACTTATTACAATGAAATGTAATCACAAAGGACAGTCTTATCCACTTTCAAATGTGGTTGATTTTTTCACTCAGCTATTGTTTGGCTTCTATACTATCCTGAAAAACACAACAAAATATGTTAGTCGCGGAAAATAAAGGAAAAAACTATAAATCGGCGTTAAGATTATTTTAAGTTAAGGTCATTGAGAAAGTTTGATGATAATTCAAAAGGTTTGTTAATTTCATCACCATCTACACCAGCTCACTAAACGCCCCTACTGAAGGGCTCGAAGCATACCCTTAGGGGTTGCGTGTTTAACGATAATAAATTAAAGGATTACAAATTTATAAATTTACCATTGTCCTTTTATTCTCTTATTTTGTTTTATATTAATACCCATATCATCAAACTTTTATAGGTTAAAAATAATCAAAGTCCTTTTTTATATAATATAAGGTGGTAAACGAGCAAGCGGCTAAATCCACCGAAATGGAAAGCGATCGCTGCTCATAAACATCCGCAATTGCAGATGCGTTATATACCCTCAATTGACGGAAGAGGAGACGCACATAAAGAGGACATTTCCCCTTCCTATGCGTCTCCTCCCCCGTCAAATCAACTTTTACTTCCCATCCTTTCTACTTAAGGAAAGGGCACCACACTTATCAGATGAAATGCAGAATGGCTTCAATTCACACCTATTTTCTGTGTGGTCGTGGTATTACACTGGGCGAGCCTTTTGTGCGAAGATGTTAAAGCGGCTCTACCACTGTTGAAGTACACGTGGCACGTAATTTTTACCTACTTGTTTAAATTCCAGCTTGCACACTTCCATGTTCAACATCAGGCATCCTCCGTAATTTCTTGTCTAATTTACGATTACTTTTGGGTGATATTGTATCAAGTAAAATTATAGGTCTAGTAGTATCGTCTTCGTCATCGAAAAATGGGCCTTTATCGTCCTTATTTGCTTGTGTTGTACTAGCTACTTGTATCTTGGCTGTAGTAGTTTCTGGACGTTCGGTGTTTACAGTGGTGGTTGTACTAATCTTTGTTCCTGGTACAGGTGGCGGGGTAGTCGTATCTTGGGTAAAGATAGTTCTAGGTCGCAGTGCTGGTACAGTTTCAACCGGAAACCGTCTATGCCCATTTGCTTGAGGTCTATTTGTAGTAAATGGTTCTACTTTATTGGGTGTTTTAGTAGACGTAGCTACTGCAGGAGTTTTGAACAGATTAGGATTAATATTTTTAGGTACATTATGATTATGATTAACATTATTCCAATTGAAAAATTTAGGAATTATAAAATAATATGGGACGAAATTTTGTGGTGTTATTCTTGAAAATAGATCATCCCGTACATTACTTAGCAGGTTTTCCATAAACCTATGCAACTGACTTTCAATAAAATTGTTGTTATAATAAATTCCACTTCCATATGTTCCATATGTTTGAACGTTTGCATAGCTTTGCACATTTTGTCGGTTGGATAGTGTTATTGTTACTACGTTATCATCTTTTACTGCTTGCCATGTTTTATCTACATTCTTCGACTTACAAGCCACGACGAAGGCACACAACACGAAGCACAGGAACCTGGTAATTTGCACCATCTGTAAATACAATGAAAACATTACATATTTGCGCCAAAGGTGATCTGATTAGTAATCTATATCTATACTAATATTATACAGAGAAAATATTTGTATTTCTGTAATAATTAAAATAACTCAAAAACTACTTGTTCAATTTAAAAATAAATCCCCATTAAAAACAAAATTATCAGTGGCCGTTTTGTTTTTTTTTTAAATTCCACGCAGACGAAGTCGCTCACAACAGATGTAATAATTTTATTTTGCATTTAATTATATAGTTATTCTAGATTTATTGTGCAATTGGTACACATGTGTTATACAAGTAATGTCCAACTAACTATAATAAATTCCTGCAATAAATGAAGATTTATTTGATAAACAATTCAATGTAAACAAAGAGGTCAATGTATGAATTGAACGTGTAATGAAGCAAGTACAGTCCGATTTTTTTGCTGGGCTTAAAATAGTGCATGCTCCTTCTTTAATTCATAAATTAATGGCCCTGAAATAAAAACCAATTCAACCCAATATTTGGATTGCGTAATTATCATTAACCGCCAAAATAAATAACAGTTAGGTATTCGCCATTGCACTTTAAAGTTTCAGTATGTAGTTTAACAGTGGTAGCGCCCACTTTAACATCTTCGCACGAATTGGCCGGCTCGCCCGGTGTAATAAACGACCACACAGAAAACAGGCGTGAAGTGGAAGCAACTCCGTGTTTCGTCTGATGAGTGTGGTGCCGGAGGCCTAATTTAAGTCCCTTTCCCTTTACCACCCTTTTCTTAAAAGGA